GTGTGTGTGTGTGTGTGAGAGAGAGAGTGTGTTGAAAAAAATAAATTTTGTGAGACGCAGTTAGAGTGATTAAGTGGATCTGCACAACATCTGCCTACAGTTTACACAAAGATATTCATCAACTCTTTTCAACATTGATAATCAGAAATGTCCCTGCAGCACAAAAGCAGTGTTGAGTCGCTGGGGGATATTTGTAGCAATAGCCAACAATACATTGTATGGGTCACAATTATACATTTCTCTTTTATGCTAAAAATCATTAGGATATTAAGTAAAGATCATGTTCCATGAAGATATTTTGTAAGTTTCCTACCGTAAATATATCAAAACTTAATGTTTGATTAGTAATATGCATTGCTAAGAACTTCATTTGAACAACTTTAAAGATGATTTTCTCAATATTTAGATTTTTTTGCACCCTCAGATTCCAGATTTTCAAATAGTTGCATCTCAGCCAAATATTGTATTTGAAATTGAAAAATATTCAAGAAATTGACCCTTATGACTGGTTTTGTGCTCCAGGGTCACATATTATACTGATTTCTGAAGATCATGTGACACTGAAGACTGGAGGAATGATGCTGAAAATACAGCTGCGCATCACAGAAATACATTACAGTTTAACAGAGACTCACACAGAAAACAGCTGCTTTACATTAGAATAATATTCCACCGTTTTTACTCTATTTTTGATCAAATAAATGCAGCCCTGGTGAGTAGAAGAGACTTCTTTCAAAAACATTAAAAAGTATGAATTTTCCCGAACGTTTGAGTGCGAAGCATGTTTTCTAGTCAGCAGTGTCGCCCTCTAGTGCTGCAGATGCGCTTCATGTGTGTGTCCAGCAGGCGGAAGTGACGCGCAAACAGCGCTCATGACGCGTCACGCTGCCTCTGCAGAATCATGGGTAATGTAGTTTTTCAAGAAGAATGTCGCTGTTAAACATTACTATTTTAAAATTAGGCTGATATAATGCGGGCTGACTGCTTCGACAAAAGCATAAACCATCGATTAACAACCTCGCGGCGCATAGTAGCTGTCATTAAAGGTTTATAGGTTTACTTTAAAAAATAAACTCCCCATGAAGAAAATGAATGGAGTTTTTACTTCCGTTTTTACAACTCGATATTAAACGCACTAACACATAATCGAGAAGTTTCGTTACTTCTAATTACAATTCTATTTATTAAAACTTGCGGAAGATGCTTCGCACTCCACCCAAAAAAGTTTTTTTTAATGTATAGATGAGGCCCTTATCTAGCTTTTGTTTTATAATGTTAGTTTCTGCCATATTTATTATTAGGTATTTAGAAGTCCTAGGTGTATTTATGTCCCTGATTTAAAAATCATCTGGAATCATCAGCTGCAGAAGCGCTTCATGTGTGTGTCCAGCAGGCGGCGCGCATGCGCAGAAACCTCATTTTCACTTCAATTCCCATCTTGTTAATAGATTAACTGTAATATAGATATATCTCATACATTTTGACCAATGTCCAGCAATACCCAAGACATAATAAACACGAGTAATTTATGGCTAGAGTTCATGGCCTAATCTACCCGTTAAAATGATGCATTAAGTAAAACTTGTTGAAAGCATTCAGATATATTTGCAGACACATCCATGCAGTAAAGCGCTTCTCATCACTGAACTGAACTGCATTCAGAAGCGCAGATGTGAGGCAGACGGACCAGAACTACAGTCCCTCCGCTTCGCTTCAGCTGCATAAACATCCACTGAGAAGACGTTCAAAGCTCACTCAGTTTTATTTAAAAAAGATCATTTCATTTGTTACAACAGCTTATAGACGCGACTGAATGAGCTGTACACATCCGTTTTTATACAATGTTTTACATGTAAAGCATCAATGAACAAAAGCGAGAGTTAGTGGAACTGTCATGACTGATGAGAAACCAAATGTTGGTCACCTTTGAACCCATCCTCGCAAAGCACCATGGGAATCAATATAGAACACCAATAATGACCAAAGACAAACTCCTGTCATGAAGACACATTTAAAGCATTTCTGTAGTGAATTAATCCGGCTCACTCTTTCAAAGTGCTTTAGACATTTTTCCCACAATTCCAGCAACCGGACACATGACCCCTCACACACACGGGGTCAGAGGTCAAACGGAGACAAACGCTCAACTGATGAGTCACTACACTCACGCTCACACACACACACACACACACACACACACACACGCACTCAATCTCACGCTCACACAGGCACACTCACACTCACGCTCACACTCACACAGGCTCACACTCACACAGGCTCACACACACGCTCACACACACACGCTCACACACATACACACACGCACTCACTCTCACGCTCACACACACACACACGCTCACACACACGCACTCACTCTCACGCTCACACAGGCACACTCACACTCACACACGCTCTCACTCACACACGCTCACGCTCACACATGCTCACACTCACACAGGCACACGCTCACACACGCGCACACACACACACACACACGCGCTCACACACACACACGCGCACACACACACGCACACACACACACGCACCCACACACACATGCATACACGCACACACACACTCACACACACACACACACAC